TCATTCATTCATTCATTCATTCATTCATTCATTCATTCATTCATTCATTCATTCATTCATTTATAAACTTGTAGTATAACTGTGTGCTGCCACAGTCATGAATAAAAAGACTTGACTGGGCTAGCAGCTGATAGAGTGAAGCATGTTGTGGGAAAAGGGCCATGAGATCTGTTTCTACCAGGCTTAGATCTCTAAGTGGGATGATTCTTCATTTTATATTTATATCATTTTATATAAAATATTAAATATGCTGTGGCAAGGATAATACTACTGCACAACGCTTCACAGAGAAAGAACCCTCTTGAGGAGGAAGCACTATATTTGGACTGATCAACTGAGAGCTCCCCCATCCAGCAAGCAGTGGGGGAAAAATATGACCAAAGTATATTTTTGAATAGAATGAATAACGTGGATTCTCATTCTCTCGCTCATAATTCAAAGATCTTGGGGTAGTCAGTCTTTTGGGGCAAGGGCACATCTGGAATTTTGAAAGCAAGCGGCCACAAAAGATGTACCTATTCCTAAAAAATGCCAGGTGGACATGTTTATGGATTTTTCCTGGAAAGAACATGGACATATTGGTAAATGGAATGCTGAACTACAAATGTTGTTTCCAAGATTCTGTAACCAGATGCTTATTTTTTTCAATAAATCTGGCTGGTAAGGTTTTTCTAAACCATCTTTTTTGACTGTGAGTGCCAGGGGCTTGATAAGCCTCCTCAGTCAGAAACACCCATTTACCAAAAGGTGAATTAGCCTCACAGGTTGCTCTTTGATCAGTAAGACCTCAGTAAGGCCAAATCATTACCAGTGTTATTGTGCAATTATTGTGTACATATTGATTTGTAGCCACCTAGTTCCTTGTGGTATGTATTTGTGAATGGACATGTATAAGCAATGAAGCATATGAGAACCATTTAAAGCAAGGCATAGAGATAGAAGGGTTTGTTCTGGAACCATATGGAAAAAATATCTGAACAAAGTTTTCTAAGAAGTCATAGCTCTCACCAGAGAACATTCCCTATGTGAATTGAATGAGACATTGGTATTCAAGTGGAAATGTGCCAGGAGGTGTGAGCTGAATATCAAGCTGGGACTGGCCAAACCTTTCAAAAGCCATAAAGGGGAATGAGAATTGCACTCTTTCAGAATCATCACTCACTACAAAGTACTACTACGAAGTCCCTGTCTAATTTTTATGGAATGTAAATCTGTTAGGCATTGAACTGGAAGAGGCGTGTGTGTGTTTGTGAAGGTAGTGTATGAGGAAAGTTCTTAGTTCAAAAAATGAAGTAAAAATTGAAACTTACATTTGTTTCATTATGCTCCTGAATCTCTTTCTTTAGAACCCTCTGCATGACCCCTTTGGGGGACCAAAGTAATGCTAGAATCTCATGCTTTGCTTTGCAGCTTCCTACTGTATGTATCTGTAGCTTTATCTGGACCTGGACATGTTTAAGAAAAGTTGGGTGAGGCACAAAACATAGGAAGCATCAAGGGAGGAGTTTGGGGGCACACAGGTGCCTGCAGCATTTACAGTACCCACTCCAGATTTAATCCAATGAAGCTGAATTATGGGAACTTTCAGAAAGCCAAGTTTATGAATAAAGGTTTCATGGAATTCCAGGCATGAAGATCCTAGAGAAAAATCCTTCTAAGATCATAGATACCATAAATGGTGTCACTGGGGAACATCAACAAGTCTGGGTTATTGCCCTCCTGGTCTTTCATTTAGAATTAGGAAACTAGATTAGGTAGGATATTGGTCTAATTCAGCAGCATTTTTCTTACATTGCTACATTAACATATAACAGTACACCCAATGATGTACTGTAAGGGGACTCAACAATCAATTTGGACTGGAGAGGTGGCATTCATTTACATGGGTTTGACTTAATACTGTACACTTCACATCTGATTCACATGAAAATATTTTTTCTCCTATGCAGTGTGTAAGAAATGGCAAAGAGAGCATGCTAAGGATTTCTCAGTCCAATTGGAGGTGAGGAATACCTTCTCAGCAGTTAGTGACAGATGTCAAATCAGATATGACGTGATATCATCCCTGCAGGCCTCCTTAGAGGGTACAGCCCACTGCGACTTTATTCTCTGAACTTGGACCAGACAAGCCCTAGTTAATTTTCTCTCTCAGGTATTTATCCTTATCTTCTATCACGCTTGCAAGTCTTAATTTTCATTGTGAGTTTAAAAGGGGAGACACAGGGAAAATGAGCTGTGAAACAGGGAGCAGATAAGGATAAGGAAGCAACAGGCAGCCAAAAACTCTGAAATGCTCTCCACATCATCTCTGGAGAACTTTCAGAATGCTTAACAGAAATTGTCGAAGGGATTTTCCAGACTTTTGCCTGGAAAGAAACTCTGAGGGATTGCAAAACCCGCCAGCTCCCCAATTCTTCTACACGCTGAATTATATTCAAGCTATAGTGTAATTTTCAGACCCTCTCCACTGTCTTCATCACTTATCCCATCTTCAAAAGCTACAGGTTCCCCTCACCACACCCTAAATCCACCTTCCCTTTGTTGCCTGTGAAAATGAGGCTGTATTAAAAAGGGAAGTATTTTCCCCTTTCCCTTCTCTCTACTCCCTAAGAGTATGCCAGGGCACTGGGATTTTGGAAAAGGCAATTCTCCCAAAGGATCTTATAAGCTGGAAAGCTGGAATGCAAGATAGGCCAAATTCAGCCTGGCTCAGAAAGAATCTGAGTTGTTTCCTGATTCTTTTTTTCTTTTTCTGCAAAGCAGTTCAGCCTATAGCTGTCCCAGTCCAATATGAGCATGGGAATGGGAAAGAGGAGTTCAAAAGTCAGACTTGGCTTAGATGTAACTGCTTTTCTTAGTATAAATTATAACTTGGATGCAAATGTTGGCAAACAATAAATGTCTCTGGATCCACTAATAGTTCCTCTCCATCTTCTGTGGACCTCCAAATACCCAGAAAAAGTGCATGAACTGGGTCTTTGAAGATGAGGAATGTCTACTTTTGACTAACATGACTCTTCTTTTAGCCATCAGTGTCATGGTTCAATAAAATGATGTTGTCTTTGTTGAAAGTGTACAAAGAGAAGTATATACATTCAGGGGAGAATAACGTAACCTTAATCTACACAATAACATTGGGTCATGCTATGGTTTTTCTCCCTAAATCTCTTCTTTATAGCTCTGACTGATTGAGGCCTATAGCTTTCCAGTACCAGTAACATTTGGGTTATGGAGAAAAAAGAAAGGGAAGCTGATTTTTTTAAGATCTGAGGCTTAGCGTCAGAAACCTTATCAACTAACACACACACACACACACACACACAAAATTTGACATCCCAGCACAAGAGATTGTAATCATGATATCAGAAAAACAAAAACAAAAAGTTAGATTTTCTGGCAGCTGTTCTAACCTGGAAAGAACTATCAACATTCTTTAAGCCAGGCTGACAATATAAGAAAAACAAGCCATTTAAAAATATTGAAATCCTGCTTTTCTTCACTTAGAAAAATCCAGCTTCACAATATTAATACAATAAATCCTCATCTTAACAGACCCACTGAGAGAGTGGGCATCTGTTCTTAAATGTCTGTTCAATGTCTTCATGGTGATTTGAATCATTTAATGAAACGATTATGCAAATTACATTATTTGTGTTAATGTACATCATTGGCGTGATGTTATGATGCAAATGAGGTAAATTAGCACAAACCATGTCATTTGCATCGTGACATGATGCAAATAGCATAAATTGCCACAGAAATTTGGTCTCCTGTAAGCAGAGTATAAATTGCTGCAAAAATTTGGTCTACTATATCAAGGTTTCACTGTAACTAGAAAATGCAGTGATTTTCATTTTACTCTTTACCAAAGAAATATTCCCTCTTGTCAAGCTAATTTAGATGAAAGTGCCAATAGTAAAAAAAATATATATAGGTAGCTCAGGGTTGAACTGTTAAATTTTTGGTATTCTGTGAACTTCTTTTTTTCCCCCCTGCAGATGTTTCATTACTAGGGAAGGTACCATCATTAGTGCATAGGAAAGTGAATTTTGCTGATTGTTTATATATGGTAGTTTGCCCTGATACTCATCTATTTCCTTGTTAGATGGAAGTAATTTGATGGGGAAAAAAGGAATGAATAATCTTGAGAAAGACCAACCTTAAAAACTTCCAGTTCTTCTAAGATGAGCTCTCCACTAGCCGATGAGTTAGTGGGCAGTACCACCACCTTCTGCACTGTTCCCTGGTCTGTAAAAGAGACGAAATGGACCATATTTGAGACCATTTTATAAAGCAGAAAATAAGAGCTGAATTTCCACTGCATACAATACAAAGATGAGCAAATGTTGGTGGGATATACAAAACAGAGAAATGAGGTGCGCCTTGTAAAAACAGAGAAAGAGGTCTTCAGTAGACCAGTTGTGAAAGCACTCCAAATATTGTTTCTCTTGACAACATACATTTTTCCAAGCACATTCACTGCACATTTCCTTAGTTCAAATTTGGTAGCAATCTTAAATCAAGTATTACTGTTGTTCTGAGACAATGGAAACAGAAAAAAGATTGTTCTATCAAAAAAGCAAAAAAGCAAAAAAAATTGTTGGCTCAACACATTTATCAAGGATCCCTGAGACACTCATATAGTGGTTACGTAGCTCTCTTGTTTGCACACCACCACCTCTCCATGTTTTCCTGTAATGTGCAATTATTGCAGTACAACGGTGTTTCCCTATTTTGCTGAAATGCTCTCCTTTCACTTCTTATATAATAACAAATGAGTAAAAAGAAGCCGAAGAAACCTTGAACGACCTTACAGATTTTGAACTCTTCTCTGCACGTATATTAATCACGGCTTTTCTTTGGGGTCTATATAGCAACTTGTTACACATTGCATTTCAAGTAAATGAGTCTTGTTTATTGTGGCAACAATTCCCAAGATATGCAAATGTAAACACATAATGGGGGGAAAATAAACAGTCTACCAAAGAATCAAATTAAAGAAATAAGCTCCAGTACTACAGTTGTTCTCTGACACTTTCAGACACCGAGTTATCTGCATTCATTCAAACATACACAGAAAGCCGCGCATGAAATCTCTCAGAGCTGGACATTCAAGAACGCTTCCTTTCAGATGTCAAGATCAGCTTCCCCTTACAGAGGCAGCTACAATTTATGGAAAAAAATAGATCCACAATTGTTCATTTTTGCACAATTATTGTCCTGGTAAAAAGGCTAGAATATTTCAGAACTATGCTAATGTGGCCACTGAATCCAAGGGAGATTTGGAGAATTCTTATCAAGGGTATCTTTTTATTATACTTGGCTAGAAGGAACATTTATCATCACGACATTTTAAAGTATCTTATTGGGAAGAGTAATAATATTATCATGACCGATAAAATAGTTAAGACAGATACAAAATTTTAAGAGTCATGGAAGTGCTTTAAACTCTCTCAGAATTTAACAAATGTGTGAATTATATATCAACCATTTTTTTTTCCTTTTAAAATGTCTCTTGGTGTGTGTGTTTGGTTAATCCTCCTCCAAACCAATCACAGTTCTATTGGAACATTTTAAAGTTCCATCGTAACTTAAGGAGCGGTGGTTGGAAAAGGAAATGATGAAAACCCACTTCTTATTTTTCATATGCTGCACAAAACAAAAACAAAAACAAAAACCCTAAACCAAACCCTTCCACCAGGTTTTCAACTATTTCCATAAACTCAAAAAGATGGGAGCAGAATGGATCTTTGTGGGGGCACATCATTCCAAAAGCAAGAACAATCACACAAAGATCTTCTTTCTCTCATGATTGCAATAATTGTAGCTAATGTGTTAATAAGTACATGCCATTTGCTTTATTAACTGATACACCCTCCCCTTCCAAACTGAAATCTGCAGCAATTGGGGAATAAAAACTGAGCTGCAAATAGGAAGGACCTATTCAACTTTGCCATGAACAGAAAAGGCAGCTTCAGACCAGTGATTATATTTCCATTTTAAGCCCCACATCTGCAAAATAATACTAAGACTTCTCTGTAAGTTGGTATAAAGCTGTGTTTTTCAAACTTGGGAACTTGAAGATGTGTGGACATCAACTCCCAAAATTCCTTGGCCAGCATGCAAAGGTTATTGGGGTGAAGTAGATACGATGTACTCTGAACCCCCAAAAGCATGATATACATGCTTATTTTTAAAAGTATTACTATAAGTCCCATTTTTCTTATGAGGATTTGGAAAAAAGCCAGGAAACAAGACATTAGAAGAGTAAAATAGCCAAGAGGCTGAGAAATGGAGCAAAAAATAGGTGTATGGAAGCTGTGTACCGACAAGGAAGGACTGAGATGAGAAAACTAAATATTGACCCACATCGTCAACTGACAGAAGTATGGCCTACTTCTACAGAACTCAAATATGACCGTTTATATTCAAGCATGGTTCACAGCTTGGATAGTACAGAACACACAGATGTTTGGCTGCTACACAGTATGTTCCACTGACTAATTCAAGATAAAAGTTTAAATCTTTCCGTACATTTTCATATAAATCATCCCAAAGAGAATGTTCTAGTTAGTACTGTAAACTTCAAAAGTCAGACTTCAAAACAGACTTCCATGAAGCCATTTTCCCTTAAACAAATAAACAAATAAACATGGGATAAAGGCTGACAGAGCAACCCCTCCTGCCCACATCACAAAAAAACCCATCACCACAATTGTTAGGAAGTGCTGGCCCAGATTGCAGCTTCATGGCAGTTTTGCTTTGAGGTGGTCCCTTTTTGGTTTAAAGATGGGACCAGCTGCAATTTCAGATCTAGCGTAAACATAACATTTTGATTGGGAGTATTTGACCTTGAGGTCAAGCAGAAAAAAGCAAAAAAAGGTGAAAAGCATAAAAATGAGCCCATTTTCTGCATTCTGGTTGAAATATTTATCCCGCATAAGAGAATATCTGTAGCTCGGGGTTGAACTGTGGAGTTCTTGGTGCTCTCTGAGCTTCGTTGTTTGCTTGCAGATGTTTCATTAGCCAATTAGATAACATCATCAGAAATATTTATTCCTGTAAGGAAGAGCACAACTTTTGGGGGGTGCCAAAAATGGTCTGTACCACCTTAAGGAACTGCCCTATTAAGTTTTACTTGCCTTATGAAAACTCATTGTTCTGCTCGGTCAAGTGTGCTTCCGGTTATCAATTTCCATGCTTTGTTTCCAATTGGAAAGCTTCTACTAAGACGAAATCATTTCAAAAGCAGCAAAAAAGATGTGAAGATGTCCATTCAGCATAGACAATACCCAATGATGAGCCTTCATTGTAAAATGGCTTATTTTATGGGCTGAGCAATTTTATCACATCTTCATCTACTGGGGCACAGGGCAATTGTTTGATCTTCTGGGACTATCCTCACTCCTTCACTTGAATCACACACTAACCTTCTTCAGATAGCAAGTCGTCATATAAATTCAGCTGTCCTTCATCCCTCAGGCTTAGCATTGCATTCCCAGCATCTTTGTACCTCCTATCCTCCAAAAATCTGAAGGGGATGAAGCCACTTTCTTCATGTGAATAATGTCTACACATGATGCACAACCCTGAACAACCAAGTTCTAAATTGTGTGGGGCCACTTCCGTGGACACCGGTTCTCCCCTTCAGACTCACCACCACCAATATGTGGTGAGCGGAAATGGTGCACAAGAGAAGAAAGTGGCAGGAAGTTTCCTTCACACAACAGAATAAGGAGAAAGCATAACACCTGAACAGTTGCCAAGGTCTCATGTGTGGTGACTGGTTTTTAGCCAGGGAATCAGTGCACCTTAATTTGAGACTCACTGAGTTCATTCCCACAACATGCCTCATCAAATTACTCAAGAGATTGAATGGCTGTGTTTGTATAGCACACAAAACAGTGGTTAGTTTTAGCTTGGATTTATTTTTTTCCAGTCTCAGCATGTTTTATATGCTGAGCTGTTAGTTTATGATTCAGTGTCTTGTGTGAAAAATGAGGTAATTTAGTAATCAGATTAAATATATTGTGCAAATATTTTCAGATGCCACATTCCTTTGAACTACATGGAAATTGACAGCTGGACAACAGAAATGGATTCTCTGTGGCCTGTTTATTACCAGGAGATTAGCTCCTCGCATGGGAAGGATAAATTTATGGCCCTAATTCCTCAGTGGATTAAAACCTGATGTTACTTGTGACTTTTGAATGAATTGCCTATAGATGTAAGTTATATATGGATGATTACAATGAAATACGGCCATTTTTACTGAAACCATTATGTAAAAATTCATGGATATACATCTATATATGCACGAGAAACCCATACATATAATTTATACTATAGCTATTGCATTTTCTTTTTCTCTTTTTAAATGTTATATGTATACGTGTATGTGTGTGTTTGTGTGCGTGTGTGTATTGTCTGTTCTGCTAAATAAAGCAAAAGCAGAAACAAATAAAATAAGCCCAACAACCAGTATTGTGCAAACTCGGCTGTAAAGTACAATACTTTGTCTTGGCTTCTATTACAGATATGCAAAACATATTATTTCCTAGCATTAAGCAAACATGTGCGTTATCCATAATTCTGCTTAATACAGTGCATTTTCGTGTTCACGGTCACCTGCTACACTCAGTTTATAACTCTGTTTTCCTTTTTAATACTGCAAAAATTGCATTTCGAATTTGAGGAAAAGGCAATTTTAAAGCCTTCTGGTTCTCCTATGCTGTCAAATTGGCTGGTGGAAATCTGATAAATTTGTACAGCAAAGCAAAGCAAAGCAAAATGAATTCTGCATCTACCTTAGCCCCAGGAAGCCTACTCAGAATGTGTATGTAGATCAGTCCTGAAGTGAAATAGGAGCACTTTCTGAACTTGGCTTGGAAAGCCCATAATTTGTAGAATGATTGATATTATAGACAGCGGTAGACGTAACTAGCGCAGTTTTGGCTTAGCTCAGCATTCACCCATAGTAAGCTCATCTTAAGCTTAAATGTTGCCACTGTGCCAAGCCCCATTTGCCAGAGGGCTGCTGCAGACCCTACCATCAATTACCAAGCCTGTCAATGTTACACAATACAGTTTTTACACTCCCCAGAAGGAAATGGTCACAAACGTTTTAATTAACTTGTCATCTTTGTTCCGACTTTCTTTGTTGACGGATGTCTTTAGTAAATCCTTTGCAATCCCTTTGAGACCACAAAAGGGAGGGATACACTGATCTGGGTAACTTATGCACTTAGTTTGCATTAAAAAAAAAAAAGTTATCCATTGGTTATTTATGTGATTGACGTCTGAGGCATTTCAACACAGGCCAAGCCAAAGAAAGCAGGTTACCCAACTGGAACCATCTGAATAATGCTCCATTTGCAAGGAGAGAAACAGAATGTGAGCGATAGATTCTTACGGTTTCCAGGAGTTGACAAACAATTGGAACTGGCTCTCCATATGAGTTGACCACACGACAACCTCTCTAATACAAACTTGCTAATCTGAGCCAGGCAAGTTTTTTTCCTATTTCTAATTTTTGGGGATAAGCACTGAAAGGATCATAGTCATCCATGGGGGTGGGGTGGGATCAAGGAAAGAGAATTATGACCAAAGCAACACTGCAACATTGTGATGCAAACTCTGCTCCTTTTGACTGTGTGCCATGATGTCACTACATATAAGAAAGGGATGGGACTTATATTGTTGTTGTTGCTGTTCAGTTGTTAAGTCATGTCTGACTCTTCGTGACCCCATGAACCATATTG